AATTTATTAAAATTATACAATAAATAAAACAATAAAAGATGGCAAAACCCCCCACAAAGTATTACAATTATAAAAATGGACATTCAGTAGCATCGCACAAATATAATCCTATACAGACTGGATTGTTTGAAAAACATCAGACCATAATGTCAAATGGTAGGATGGTGGGTGGACAGTTATATTATGTGTGTTAACAAAGTCAATAAACGGAAGCCACTTTCCATAAAAAGATTCTTGGTTTTGTTGTACTAAATTTCATTTCGTTTTATCCGATAACTTCTCCATTAGCCATTGGCCCCAAATTCTTTTCCAGCAATTATCTAGGGACACAAGAGCTGTCTTTCAAGCTTTAGCCACTTCAAGTTGAACTACTGTCAAGAGAAAAGTAATTAGCATTCTGCGTCTTAAATGTGTATTACCCACAGTAGATTGAAAGTAACAGGAGAGCTGGGCAGAAGTTGATTTTTTGTTTAGTAAAAGCAATCTGATCGAGGACTTTGTGCCAAAATGAATTAATTTTAGGGCAGTTGATCCACATATGGTTGTATGTCCCTGGGACAGGGCATCCCTGCCAGCATAAGGGTGACATAGATTTTACCATCTGTGATAATCTAATGGGGTCATATACCACTTGTGAACCAGCTTTTTAAACAACACCTTCTCCTTGTAGAAAGTGACTGATTGGTTTTTAAAAATGTTCTGCCACATGCCAGGTAATTAGATGGGGCTGCCCTCTTGCTGAAAACACAGGTTAATAGTTTGGGTTGCACTTGTGGATTCAGCCCTGAACTGTTGGACAGTGGAATATGCTTCCTTGAACTGTGGTGGAGTCTCCTTTTCTGGAAGGTTTTAAACAGAGGCTGGATGGCTGTCTGTCAGATTTGGGAGTACTTTGATTGTGTATTCCTGCAGGGAAGGGAGTTGGATGCCCCTTGTGGTCTCTTCCAATTCTATGATTCTGTGATTCTGAACCTGGAGGTCCAGGTCTCAGTGGTGCCCAGGACTGCATTTACATAGTTAAAGCTAGTGTGCTAACTGTGCCCATTCCTGGGAAAGTAAAATCTGGTCATGGTAACACATGCCTTGGTTACATCCCATTTTATTACTGTAATGCACTCTACGTAGGGCTGCCTTTGGAAACTATCCGTAAACTTCAGCAGGTCCAGAATGCTGACTGGGGCCAGTTATAGGGAACATGTAGCTCCATTAGAATCATAGAGTTGGAGGAGAACACAAGGGCCATCCATTCCTATCCCCTGCCATGCAGGATGACACAATCAAAACACCCCTGACAGATGGCCATCCAGTCTCTATTTACATACTTCCAAAGAAGGAGACTCCATCACACACCAAGGGAGTCTCTTCCACTGTCAAACAGCCCTAACTGTTAGGAAGTGCCTCCTAATGTTTAGATGGAATCTCTTTCCCTGTAGCTTGCTTCCATTGTTCCAGGTCCTATTCTCTGGAGCAGCAGAAAACAAGCTTGCTCCATCCTCAATATGACATCCCTCCAAATATTTAAACAGGGCTATCATATCACCTCTTAACCTTGAGATCATGCTTTAAGTCCTGGTGAAAGCAACAGTGTGGTTGCATTTATGGCATCACGGTGGATATTAGGGCACAAAACTGGGTATTTGTTCCACCCTTTCTCTAGGGCTCAATATGAAAACTAATGCCTGTGACCTCATAGGAATGGGGGCATATTGGATTCCAAGAGCGGGGGTCCTTGTTGAGATGCAAATGGACTTTAAATTTCCTGGTCTTTGCAAATCTCCCAATATCCACTAGGACAGAAGGAGTAGGGACCAGCCTGCAAAAGATGCCCTCCACTTACCATCTTAACTAAGGACAGAAACATCAAAATGTAGGCATCTGACTAACATCTCCAATTGTTTTTCTCTTGCTTGGTTTGTAATATCTTGTCTGATGAAGAAGCCAGTGGAGCTTCGAAAGCTTGCACCAAGTATATTGTGCGTTTTGGTTGGCCAATAAAGGTATCACTGTTTGGTGGATTTTTATTTGAACTTAAGTACCGTAAAAGGTTGGAAAAGGGATGATACAGTTTAGTTTTGGTTTGTGGTTCACATACCTTAGACACTGAGACAGTCCATTCTGGGCAAGGCACTGGAGCATGTGATGACCTATTAGCTGCAAGGATTTCTGGATGAGACGGATTATCTAGATCCATTTCAATCTGGCTTCAGTCCTGGTTGTGGGATGGAGAAGGCTTTGGACACCTTGGGAGATGACCTGCACTGGGAACTAGACAGGGGGAACATGTCCAGAACCAGGTGGTTCTGCAGACCTCTCTGCAGCTTCTGATACCATTGAACTTGATATAATTCCAGGTTGCCTTACAGGTGTGGGACTTGGGAGTGCTGTTTTACATCAGCTTTATTTCTTTCTGGAGGGAAGAAGCAAAAAGGGTAACTGTTCAACCCTTTTGTAACTTGCTTATGGAGTCCCTTAGGATTTTCTTTTGCTCCTCACACTCTTTAACAAACAGAAGAAACTCAGTGATAGGAACCACCTTATTAAAATCAGCTCATAAATTAGGTATTTTCTGACCGAAAAAGAGGTAAATTAAATACATTAATTTTAAACTTAAATTTATTGGCTTAAGTTAGAATTTCAGCATTAACCTCATTGTAGAATTAAGTCAATAATAAAGCCTTTTTTTTTTGTAAACAGACCATGCTAAAGAACCACCTTATTAAAATCAGTTCATAAATTAGATATTTTCTGACCTGATTTAACATTTTTCAGGTGGCTGTTATGCAAAGCATAGCTCTCTTGGATTTTTTAAAATCTGCTTTTCAATTTTTGTTCATTTCTTAGATTTGGGGAATTATAGTGTGTAGATCACAAGGTACAAATGCGTGCAAATGCAAATGTCTATAGGCATCTGTTTATTTTTATTAATAAATAAATTATGATAAGCTAGTTAATCCCACAATTATATAATTCAGTATTTCAGGATAGTAAGGGCAATTTGAAAGGGAGCCTTCCTATTTTGTACACAGGTACTGAATAGAAAGGCCTCATATGTTGCAGGAAAATTAGTTATTAATTTTTAGCCTGGGAAGTTGTGTACATGTGAATCAGTGAACTAAAGAAAGGGAAGGTATAAAGGCTGAAAAAATAAAAAGCAAGAAAGGTTTTCTTTATAGGGTGAATGAGAAGAAGGGTCTCCAAAAATATACAGTCACCTCTC